ACACACACACATACACCATACAAACCCAGATGATTACATAACCTCCTGGCGGAGGTAATGATAGACTATATCTGCACAAACATACATATATCCATCCTATATTCCTATTTACATTATGTCTGGTGAAATTCAGTGGGATGACAGAAAATAGACCAAGTGAGTCTATACAAGGGGCGAACATACATATATATCCTCACCTTATCCCTGGCATCCACTTGTGCACCTTTTTCTAACAAATTTGCCAGCATTTCACCACCTCGATGTATCGCTGCCCAATGAAGAGCCGTTTGTCCGTGCTACAAAGAAAAATTTAAATCTTAAAAGCCTTGTTACACTAATGTATTTCAACTGCAATTTTGGAGTGACAAGCACGTGAAAAAATATTAATTGGCATGCACCATTGACACACAAAACTTAAATATTTTCCAAATTTTCTGCCAGAAAGGTTAACATTTATATATTGGAGAATGAAATATTTAACTAGTGGTAAATTTCTCAATTATATTCAATTGAATAAAAACATTTTCTCACTCTGTTAACTGCTGATTGACCACCATGCGTATTCAGCACGACAGTGCTTAGCGAAACCTGGCGAAACCTACCTATTCCACCCATTTATAATAACATCATCCCCCCGCCACCTCCGTCCCCTCTTCCCCAAACTACTGGTGTCCACTACTCATGCACTTGCAATCATTGTCGTAATTCTTGTGCGAAAGAGAGATCGCAAAAAACTCTCGAGTTGTTGTGTTGTACTTTCAAAGAGATAACAGTAATATCTAAGGCTGCTCAATGACGTTCGAAATTCCAATACGTCAGTTAAGTAAAGTAGTCAAAATATAGTGTGAACCATTTCTAATATTAAACTACATATATATTATTTGCTAAATTTACATACGGCAACAAAAGGGATGAAATATAATGGCAACCTGAATCTCCGCAACCAATACACAGTTTTGGTTGTGTTAGTCTGGTCTCTTCAGCCATAGTTTTTTTTTGTACCGTTTTGCAATCGCGTTCATGAAGCTAATATGATGCATGGATCCAAATATCCCACACATCTTGATATGGCCACGACTGTTTTAACACCATTACCCCGTTACCACGACTAAATGGCCCGAAATTGTTGACCGTATTAATAGGGTCCATTATATACATACATGAGTCATGTTGGATACAATACAGATGACACAGATGTGTAATGATAGACTATATCTGCACAAACATACATATCATTCCATCCTATTTTCCTATTCACATTATAACTGGTGAAATTTAGTGGGATGACAGAAATAGACCAAGTCTGTACAAGTGGCCAACAAACATATCTATTCACACCTTATCCCTGGCATCCACTTGTGCACCTTTTTCTAACAAATTTGCCACCATTGCACCATCTCCACGCCTCGCTGCCCAATAAAGAGCCGTTTGTCCGTCCTACAAGTAAAATGTAAAAATCTTAAAAGCCTTGATAGGCTTTATTTCGACTGCAATTTTGGAATGACAAGCACGTGAAAAAATGTTAACTGACATGCTCCATTGACACACGAAACTTAAATGTTTTGCAAATTTTCTGCCAATGGTTTGATTTAGAAACAACAACACACCAATGTAGTCAATATAACCTTAAAAACAAGACACGAGCTTGTGATTTTGATCCGCCATGTTGTTTTTAATTCTGCAAGTTGGACGCCAGCGCAAATTTTCCTATTCAGGCGCGTGTCGTTTGCTCGCCGCACAGGAGAATTTTTTTTTCACGAATGAGGAAAAGATCAAACATGTTTGATATTTGGTTTACATGTGACGAATGACGAAAATGCCGTAAATGTTGCCCGCACACGAAGAAATTTTGTCGATCCAACTTGTCACGAATAACAAGTACGCGCGACAAGTGCGCTCGTGTGCGGCGGGCTTTAGGGAGAAATGCCACTTGAAAGGCGAAATAAAAAGCCTCTCCTAGTAGACAAATGAATAAAATTGTCTGCCGTTAGTTAGACTGTCGAAAAGTGGGTTGAATTTGGGCATATTTATGTATTATTTACAACATGAACAGCAGTCTGTGTTTTATCGGATATAGGGATACGAGGCCAGTATCTTTAGGTCTGATAAAACACGCGCTGCGAATGTTAAATTGCTTCAAAAACGATCGATCTTGTAAGATCATTGGCGAAGTAATTTTCAAAAATACGTTACAACAACAACAACAACAACAACAACAACAACAACAACAACAACAACAAAGTTGCGTAAGTCGAGAAAATCAAAGTTTCTCTGAGAAAATATATTTATATCGAAACTGGCTTGTTGTTGACAACATCTACATTGGCGTCGAAGCCATTGTGCACATGATCATCGCACGCATAGCACTTCAGCAAATCAGACAAAATTAATTTTTATTGCAATATCCCTTTCAGTTTCCTCCCACCTGAAAAAATTAGCTAAACCTCATACCAAATATTTCCGAACCTGTCTAATCTCTGCCAAATGTTACTTTGCGAGAGTTTGCTGGCATTCCATCCCACCACAGATCTGTGGCAGGAAGCCCTTAAAATGGATGCATGTTCGTATTATACTACTGTACCCAAATATCTTAAAAAGTTTTACCTCTGTTTCTGAATCGTCGAATGTAAATGGTGATTTAAGCCGAGCAACTTCATATCCACTCTTAACTAAAATAATCAATACAGACATTCAATTTTGTTGGGTATGCTAGAAGGCTATATGATTATTTTGCACAAACTATAATATTTTTCTGTATATAATATTCTTCGTATTCAACTGTTCAATCACCGCTTGAATATGCAATGTATAAAACATATTCCCCTAAGAGTACCTCTCTTCATTTTGTTTACAAAGAAAACAAAATATCCTAGTACAAACTTATTTAATGACTGTTCTATAGTGCCTATCAGGCCCAGTTTACACTGTAATGTTCGTGGTTTTGTATCAATATCAAGCACTTTTAAGTATAACAATAGATATCAAACAACTTGTACAAACAGCATAATACGTATCCAATTACTTCCCGGTTCCCTAGCCTCGTGCTTCTAAAATACTTAACTAACTTTCTAGTCACGTGTGTGCTAGTGTCAATAATGTCAACATTGCATCCCTCCCTTGATTTAAATATGAACTCTAGTATAACAAAATATGCATATAATGTTTAAACTGTATCTTATCTGTTTTAGTCCAGGTCAATCATAAATGTTATTTCCATATCTGTACACCCGCTGTCTTTCTCTTGCCGGATATCTCGGACCATCATCTTGTCTCTGACCATTGTTCTGCCGCGGACGATCATTCTGTCTCACTGCCCCGGCGAAAATTTGTTCATGAAGTCATGAACTTTGATGGTGCATTCATGAACGTTCATGTAAATTCATGAACAGTTCATGCTCCGCTCATCAAATATTTTACCTATGGTTCATGAACAAGTGTTCATGAAGTGTTCTTGAATGCTCTTCATGAACTGTTCATGAACAGTTGATGAATGGCCAATCAGTTCATGAACTTTTTGTTTTGAACAGAATAGTTCATGAATGTTCATGAATGTTCATTTGAATATTTCATGAACCGATTATTCATGAAAAATTCATAGAATTTACTTGATGAACATATCATGAAATTTTGATGAATTTGTACTGATTCATGAACGTTCATGATTTCGCTTTGTGAACTACCATGAACTATTCATGAACAGTTTTAGTGGATTATAATACATCATAAATAATTCATAAAATGTATTAATTTAATGAATGTCGATGCATGTTTAATGATATTAACTTTACGATCGTATATTACGAGTCTGTAAAGAATTATACACTATATTCACTACTGTAGTCTGTATTAAATTTGCCATTTCAAATTGAGTGACATTTGAAAAAGTGCAATTTCTGAAACATTAGTTGATGCGTGGTTATAGTCAATATATAGAAAAAGCTGTCTTAAAGGTCTATACTTTTATATTATTCATTTCTACATTAATCGAACTCTGAACGTCTTTTCTGCCAATTTTATCTGATATCTAATCAGGTTTGCGTATCTTGGCCATGTAGACAGGTTGACGGCCAAGCCTCGAGCTATATACAAATAGTCAAATACAGCTCAGATTTAGTGTGGGAAGACAAATTTGCGTGCTTTTATAACGCAGCACTTCAGTTTTATTATGTTCTTCGTTGTTCTTGCTGGGTTTACTGGAATTTGTTGGCTTGGATATGCATTTCAAGAATACAATGTTGGTGAAACTACCAGGAGGGGTATAGCTACGTCAGCGAAATTCCAGCAAATAGTATAGCGCAAATTAAGCGCAATCAAGTAAGTTATTATAATAGTATATCGGATCACCGTTTTTAATACGGCCATAAATTAATATGCCCAAAACGTTTCAATAAATGCGTTATATCAAATGTTTAACAAACATAGTGTGCATATATTCGGAACTATAGGTGCATGTCTCCTCAATCTTTAATTGCCTGGTATGACAGCGCAACCGCATGGCGCAAATATTGTACGGATCGAGACAGAGTCGAAGTGATAATACTGTGATGAACTGTATATACAGTATATAAGAAATCGAGTTTTGAAATCTATTAAATTTATATATAGTCGTGCATGATTTTGCAATCAACTTATTCGAATGAGAATTATTATTAGTTATTATTGAATTAAGAAGACTCGTAAAAGTGGAACGTATTTCATTTCTTAGCATTCATAATGTACACTATATACCTGTAGATTATTACGAGCACACACTGATTTGACCAAGAAATGCCTAAATAAACTCCTATATAATCTATACGCAAATACGCGATTTTGTTAATGGATGTATAACGAGGTTCATGCCATTTGTTGCCTTAATTGTTTGCGAGTTTGCCCTGTGGTAAAATGCGGCATGACTGGTCGGACAACTTAATTTGTTATTTCAGTGTTTTGACAGTAAGTTTTAGTAAGAAATGCGTGCATGAAGATTGATTTGTTATTTTTAAGTTTGCATGTCATACTGAACTGCATATATATGAACACATATAGTAAAGACAACCTTGTAATAGTTTAACTGTACACAGTATAGGTAAAAATTGAAGTGTATATAGCTGGATTCTAAAGACTAGTTAAAATTCAAAAATGTTGGTGAATAATTTCATGACCCTTTTCCCAAACGATTCATAAGTGCATGGTTCGTATATTATAATTATAATTATACGATTTCATTGACAGGCCCATTCTCATAGAGTAAAGATTATGAACTATGTTATAATATGGTTTCCAATTTTAGAAATCTAAATCAGTTCATGAACATTTCATGCATATTGATCATGAACTGTGCCATGAAGTGTTCATGAATCACTTCATGAAAATTCATGAGGAATTCATGAAACGCTACCATGAATTATTCATGAATTATTCGTGAATGATTCATGAAATGTTCATGATTACAAGATCATGAAGTATTCATGAACAGCAATTTTCATGAACTGTGCCATTTAATGTTCATGAGAAAATTCATGAAAAGTTCATGAATATAGCTCATGATTTGCTCTTCAAAAATGCATGAACATTAGTTCATGAACTGTTCATGAACAAAAAAGTTCATAAACTTGTTATTCATGAACTGTTACTTTCATGAACTGTGCCATTTAACGTTCATGCAAATTCATGAAGAGTTCATGTACTTTTGATGTTAGTTCATGAACAAAATTCATGAATTTTTTATGAATAATTCATCAAAATTTCGCCGGGGAGTCCATCATACTGTTCATGCTCTTCGTGGACAACTTCATCTGAGGAATAATTTTCTTCATCCATTATCTCTGTTGACTCCAACGATCTGCCATGTCTGGGGTGATACTTTTTAAAGAACGAAATGTTCCGAGTTATATATTTCCCATTCCTAATTGCTGTGATTCTATTCCCACGGCGATTTGTGACTTCATATGGTATTGGATCGTATTTTGTGGACATTTTATTTGCTTTCGGTTGCCGCACCAAAACTAAATCACTTTTCTTGATGTCAGCACACTTAACTCTTCTTTTGGAATCAGCATATTCTTTTTGGTTCTTTTTCAACCTTTCATCTCTCTCCTTCACCTCTTGATGAAGTGAAGAATCATTTTCGACTGTCACTTGAGGTAATTTTGTTTGAATCTTACGGTTGTATAGCAACTCGGATGGTGACTTGCCAGTGGTGGAATGTGGGGTAGCTCTGTAGTTGAGCAAAAATTTAAACATTTCACGTTTCCAGTCTTTGTTTTCATGATGGGCAGATTTCACAGCCTTTACAAGTGGTTTCATAAAGTTCTCGGCTTGTCCATTTCCTTGGGGCCATAATGGTGAGCTTGGTTTATGTTTAATGCCGAGTTCTTTCAAGTACAGACTAAATTCATGGCTCTGGAATGGTGGACCGTTATCACTCTTTAACACCTTTGGAATACTATGTGTGGCAAAAATTCGTTCAAGTTTCAATATTGTTGATTTTGCAGATGTTGAACTTACAATTTCCACCTCTGGAAATCGTGAATATGCATCAATAATCACTAACAGATATGAACCACCTAGAAATGGTCCACAAAAATCAATGTTCACTGTATGCCAGGGTTGGGGAGGCAGCGTCGTCATTCGCAGTGGTTCTTGGTGGCTGTTTGGTCCATTTGCCTGACATAACAAACAAGTATCCACTGTGTGCTTAGCAAGCTTGTCTATACCTGGATACCAAACCTTTTCTCGCAACAACTGTTTAGTTTTTACTAGCCCTTGGTGGCCTTCATGAGCAATTTGAACAGCCTTTAGTCTAAGGCTTTCTGGAAGCACAATTCGTGAGCCTCGTAATATAATTCCATCATGCTCGTTTAGTGTAAGTTCTGTTTTAATTTTCTCACATGCTTTCAAGTCCAAAACCTTTACATTGGGATTGGATTGTACGTCTAGAGAGT